CAAAGTAGCGACATCTGTGAAGCCATAAGACCAACTATAAACAAATTATTTTTGGAAACAAATTATGGATGGCGCCACCATTCATTAAATTTTGTGGTTCAAGGCAACTGTCCTACGCCTGACGGACTGTGACAGAGCTTACATGGCGACGGAGCATGCGCGCTCGCGTAAATATATTCAATTTCAGGGAAAAATGATATATTCTCTTATAAAACGGGTAATAAAAATAAAACTCTCAATTAAAAATATTAATATTTTTAAGACCTTTTTTTTAGTGTAAGAACTATTTAAAAAGCTTGTGCCGGTTTGGAGAAATTTTGCAAAATATGACAAAGATAGGTACTCTTTGGAGATTTTTTTTCTAATAAGGGGTTGACAAAAATACAATTTTGTTAAATTAAAAACATTTACCAAATCTTCTTCTGTTACCCTGTATTTTTTCTTTGTGGATTAAATGAACAGTTATTGCGATTTTTTTACTTAAATATCCTAGATTTAGGCATTTCAACCACTGTTAAAGCCTTAATAACAAAAAATATCGTATTTTTGCTTTGGATGTGTTGTGATTGTTTCTATTATACAATATTATATTTCCGACATTTTACGCTATCGCTAAAGCTACATTTAGAACGATCGGGGTACGTTAAGACGAGTAAGTTATATGTTTACGCGTCTACCCAGGATATTATCAAATTAGCAGTTTGAACACAAAATTGATAAAAAAATTGTAAGGTCATAATCAAACTTTTAAAAAAGATATGTACTTACCGACTTCGAGAACAAAAAATAGTTTAAAACAATTTCCACATACTAAGCTTCTATAGTCTGTTCTAAGACAAAGTGTAGGTACCGCTTCAAGGTAAAATCTATTTATCCATTATAATGAAATGATTTCTTAAAATTTATATGAACCACCCCTGAAATATAACCTATTTAATGAAAGATTGACGCAATTCAGAATAGAAGAATTTTAAATTCAATCCAATTAAACCGGTTCAGCCGTTTTTGCGAAATACAGTGAGCATACATAAAAAAACACACGCTTCGAGTATACTCGTAGAAACCTCTCGTTTTTGGTACTCGGTTAAAAATTGAGAACAAATCATTTCAAAATACTATTTAATTAGAATATTTAGAGACGATGGCAAAAGACCCGACGGTATGACTTTGGTTCCTTGGGAGATAAGTAAAGCCTTAGTGTGGGATGCTGCTTGCGTAGACGCTTTGGCGGCCTCTCATTTCAGGGGTACCTCGTTTAAAGCCGGGGCAGCATCAGAAACAGCTAAATTAAGTAAGTGGCGCAAATATGAGTATTTGAAAGATGACTACATATTTGTGCTATTTGCTGTTGAGACTATCGGTCCCTGGGGTCCACGTGCGGTGAAGTTCCTAAAGGAACTGTATCTGCGACTGGTTGTCGCTACTAGCCAGTGTTCTTGGCAGTATACCACGGAGAGTAAGACTGTATGATACTTAAAATTTTTAGTTTTAGTTTTTCATTATTATAACCTTTGAAGTTCGGTTTTCTTTATTGTAACCTTATTTAATTTTATACAATGTTTTAACAATGTAAATAACTAAACAAAGAAAAATTCATTATATATATATAATAATACATTTGATATACAAATAAATACTATTTAAAATAAGTTAATAAATACGAAGGTACTTCTATAAATTTAAAGCAAATAAGCCTTCATAAATGTCCATACATACATAAAATCCGGGAACTTCTATACTTCATTGTATAGAGCCGCGTTAAGCTCAAGTAGTAAGCGTACGACGTAATTATCATAATACTAGCTGACCCGGCGAACTTCGTACCGCCTAACAGTCGATTCTTTATTTTTTTAATATTTTTTTTAATACTTATTCTGCTATTCGGGACACCGGGTCAGCTAGTAAGATAAAAAAAGAAAAAAGAAAGTTGATAAGTCAACAATTACTAGTGTTGCCCAAAATCAGTCTTGGTCTTGCAGTCTTGGTCTTGTTCTTGCATTTTTGCAAGACCAAGACCAAGAACAAGACCGCCTCTTTTTAGCAAAACCAAGACCAAGACTGACCGTGCAAGATTTGCGCAAGAACAAGACTTAGCTTGCGAGACTCTTGCGTCTTGCAGTTAGGACTAAGTGTCGTTTCAGGGAGTATAGGAGTTCGGGTATACGCTTAGGGACTCTATGAGACGCAAAAAATATAATGAAAAATAAATTGGAACATTGGACTTATGCGCATTACGAACAATACCATAAATATACATAGCGAATGAAAATATCCATTAAAAGAAAAAAGAGTGCATCCCTAGTTTTGACCATCGGCACTTTGATGGTGCGCGGCGTCTTGTTGTCGGCGTCATCAAAGGTCGGATACTGACCTGTCAAAGAAGTTGTGCAGCTATTCGAAAGTCCAAGGTAAAGATACACGTGTCGGCGGCTACTATTGATATCGCATAATCGTCGCCGCCGCGCCACACGCACTACATTTGACACTGTTTGATTGCCGCCACAGAGTACATGTTTCAAAGAATAAAATAAGTTTCCGGGTGCTCAGAATGGACACGAATACATTATCCTGATCTCGCAAGAAATCTTGTAATTAGATAATAGGTAGGTATCATAATAATTTATTCTAGTAAGTAATTATTATAAAATTAATTATATGGATTTATAATAATTACTTAATATTATTGTTATTATTATTACCTAAAAGATAAACATGTTCAGTAAGTTCACTGCAAATCTCGACTTTTGCAAGTGTGTGTTTTTGAAACACAAAGTGCTCGAATATGTCGTCACACATTTGATAAATATGGTTGACACCATAGCACTTTTAAAACACTTGAAATGTGTAAAAATGGATCTGGATCTTGTCTTCAAGGCTTAGTTATTAAGGAGTTGGAGGGGTACCTAGGTAAACCCAGAGCCGTCATCTCGGAAGACATTTTAGACTGTTGGAGGACGCATGAGACAAAATATCCGATTTTATCGAAGATGGCCCGTGATTTTCTTTTAATACCTGCAACTTCAGTACCTGCTGAGAGATTGTTTTCTAAAGCATCATTAGTAATTAGAAAACATAGAAATAGGTTAAGTTATGAGTCAGCCAGATGGTTACTTTGTATTAATGCTTTGTCAAAAGAATAAATATAAAGTAACAGTAATGTCAAAGCTGTTGTGTACATACTGTGAAGTAATTTAATTTGCATCGTATTTAATTTTTTATTTAAATTAATTAGTATATTGTATAACTCTCTTATTCCATTTCATATATGGGGAGGGTCCATCAATCTCTTTCTAGAGGGATAATGTTATTTAAAATACAGTGTAGTTATTGCCATTAATTTGTTTTTATATGTATGTCTAACCATGTTTTAGCACATGTAAGCTTATTAAATGTAAACGTTTATTAAGAAACTGACGCCCGTGGCCGTGGGACACTCAGTTGGTTGGAGCATCGGCACGGATCGCTTAGGTCGTGGGTTCAAACCCCACCCGGTGTCAGTTGATTTTTCGAATTTCTCATTAAATGTTTAGACATTTATTAATATGGTTGGTCTTTACTATGGTTATGTTAATTCAAGCTCAATATGTACCTACTCTGTTAAGTTGTTCTAAGATCTAAAGTAACGTTTAATAAATAGTAATAGGCTAATAGGTCATTGCGAGACTTGCGAGACTCTTGCTGCAAGACCAAGACCAAGACCAAGACTCGGAGCGCAATACCAAGACCAAGAACAAGACCAGGTGTATTGGCGCAAGACCAAGACCAAGACTTGCTAAGTCTCGTCTTGTTCTTGCATTTGGGCAACACTAACAATTACATTATGTCAAAAAATAAAAATTATAAAACACTATTGACAATATTATTAAATTAGGTAATACATATTATTTATACTATACTAACGTCATTCAATTGTTTTGCCTTCCCGGAATCCCTCCACTAACACTTAAACTTTATGGTATGGTATTAAAGTTCAAATTGACTTTTAAGTATTATTAAGAATCTTTTGTATGGGAATATAGAAACGTGTTGTTTTTAGACTTTTTCAGGCAATTTTTTTAATTTTTCTCTCCCTAAGAACCATCTTCGTACTTTAAGGAATATTATAAAAAAAGAATTAGCGAAATCGGTTCAGCTGCTCTCGAGATTTGCGTTTAGAAACACATTCAGTTCAGCGATTCATTTTTATATTATAGATGCGAGCGAGCCGGAGTTCGATCCCAGTTGGCACCACTCAAACTATAATGACATTTTCATATGTTGATTTTTACCATGTGCTTGGCGGCGAAGGAAAATATCGTAGATAACCTGTATGTCTCAGAACTTTGCACACATCATACTTTATAATTTGGACAGTTATCGAATTTATAGTGACAATTAAATGCCAATATTCTACAGATTTTTTATTCTATTTACATTTTGCAAACCTTTCATTATTTCATAATAACATGTATTAACATTAGATGCAAAATCAGGCCAAACATAAAAATACAATAATATATGAACTGTGAAAATAAATTTCGCAAAAGAGATCTAACCAATCTCACTGAACCGCATTCCCTTATACACAATTCGTGCTTCAACCACTAGTTAGTAAGGAACGTTCGGCGAAGCACATGGGCACCGTCTAAGTCGCAAGTTACAAAAGGACTGTCACGATAGCACTTGGAAATAAATGTGTAAATAAAAAACGACCGTATGTTAGCATATTCTTCAACATAGTGACAAACTCACAGGTTGTTTATAAAATCGCCTACAAAACGGACACTGCTAAAGGTATCCTTAAACTTTATTGCAATGTTCCCATTTTAATTTCAATAATTTCCCCAAACAGACAACCTTAGAATTACAAATGCATAAATTGCTCATTTTAAGCAACATTGTAGCAGTGTTTCATCGACTTCTTGTTGAATACACACAGAATTCACAACGATCAAGGTAGACTTAAGTCCTCTGCAGAAAGAATTATATCAAATATTAAATAAAAAGAAACGGATACTCACAACCACTACTACCGAAGATCGCTATAGTGAATACTCCGAAGCTAAATAATAGAAATAACACGGTGATGCGCTTCCGAGGAGCCGAAGCACAGCCCACGAAAGCTCTGGCAATACCAACCCCACTATGGGTCATTGTAAATCTGAAACAAACACACAAAATGTATTAAATACGAGGGTGACACGGAAAGTTCTTAGAAAATCAAAAACTGAACAAACTAGCAAGTTATTAGTTTTATTATATCTTTTCAAAATAGTGTCGATTTACATCAATACATCGCTGCATCCGATGGAACCACTGAGAAAAGCACTTTGCCTACTCAATTTTGGGGTCTCTTCGACGGCATTTTCAAACGCAGCCACTGCTTCCTCGGCGTCCATAAAACGTTTTTCTCGAAGTTTTTCTTTTATTTTCGGAAATAAATAAAAATCGCAAGGTGTCAGGTCGGGACTATAGGGCGGGTGACCCAGTAATTCCACGTCTGACATCGCCAAGTAGTCGATTATTTGCTTGGCGGTGTGCGACGAGGCGTTGTCATGGTGAAGGAGGATCCTACTGCGAGGAACTGTTTCCAAGACAAGTGGCGAACAATTGTTAGTGTACACTCTGCAGTAACTATTTTTTGATTCTCTAAAACAATTGTTGCATAATGACCTATCCTTCCGAAGAACGAGGCCACCATCTTTTTTCCCACGCTTCGAACTCTTTTCACTTTAGTTGGCAACTCCTTGGAAGGAAACACCCAGACAGCAGACTGTCTCTTAGTTTCAGGATAATAACAATAAATCCAGCTTTCGTCACCCGTAAGTATGTCGAACACAGCATTTGAGTTACCTCCGTTAAATCTTTGAACTATTTCACGACACCAATCAACACGACGAAGTTTTTGGGCCTCTGTCAAATTATGAGGTATTCACCGGGCACAAAGCTTCCTGACCGCTAAATGTTCATGGAGGAATTTGTGCACTTGACTCATATCGATATCTAAGCTTGTCCGAATCTGCTGATAAGTCACTCGTTTTTTGTCAGTCTCTGTCATACGCCGCACAACATTGATGTTATCTTCAGTCGTCGCCGTAGAAGGCCGTCCCTCACGCAAATAATCGGTGAGATTAGTGCGACATAAACTCATTAAACCAATTGTAAACAGTGGCACGAGATGGGGCTTCATCGTGAAAGGAAAATCAAAAAATTAAGTCAACAATAAAGTTGTGGACTTAAATGACATCGAAAGTCAAAAAATCATTGTAGGAAAATTTTCTGGCGTTAAAATCATGCTGACGTAACACAGACAATTTTCAATTTGTCGCCAAATCAATATACAACGCCAATAAACTAATAAAATACATACACAATAATATTGGCAGAGTTCCATTTTCAAAAAAAAATTATTCTTTTATTATATCTTATACAAGTGGCCAGTTCTAAAAACTTTCAGTGTCACCCTCGTATGCAAATTTAAGGATTGCAAAATAAATTCAACGCTTTATACCCGTAATAAAGAAATATTTTAAAGGTATTTAAAATTGCTGTGTAGTAACTGCGTACGAGCATCTATCAGCCCATTTCGTCTCGTAGGTGTCGTAAGCAGGCTATGGGAAATATCACAAAAATCTAAAGGCTTCTAAGAGATGGCGGTGTATCATCGCCCCTACAACGAGAGAGGTCCATGGACTTTTACGAGCTGAAGATGACGTAGATATTTAAAAGTTCTTTTAAAAGTGGACTTATAGTCAGATTATAAACTGATTTTATTAAAAATCTTGAAACAAATAAGATGTATGTACACACAAGAGTGCGAGTGAGAGTCAAATTAGTTTTTAGGAAGTCAAAGACAGACGTAAAATTCAACGTTTTTATATTTTCTATGACGAATATACGTATAAGTGTTACATACATTTTATCTATGTTATATATATATATATATATATATATATATATATATATATATATATATATATAAATTAAAAGTAGATAATATTAAAATAAAATACTTTATTCATGGCAAGCACTGGCGAACAGTCCTTGACATAAATAACTTGTTTATATAACACACTTTAAAAATTGATTCTACTTTTACATCAGTCCATAACGGCCCTTAGCTTTAAAAGCTGAAAAGGTATTATTCTCCATATCTTGCTTTGCAAATGCAATATTTCCTGGCGAATGCTTAGATTTAAACGCATGATATTTAAATAAAACTAATTTTATGAATTTTATCGCGTGTATTAACTTATTTTATATTCCCGACGTTTCGAGCACTTTACAGCAGCCATGGTCACGGGTCCCAATTTTTTTTTAATTTGGTGTTAGGCATGGTTAACTATGACATTGGGACGTCATACACCTCAGTCCCCCCCGTGACCATGAGTACTGTAAAGTGCTCGAAACGTCAGGAATATAAAATAAGTTAACTTACGCGATAAAATCCGTAAAATTAGTTTTATTTAAATGTGTAGTGTTCGCGTAAACATAAAAATCAGCTTGTTATTTAAGTTCAACTTAAATAATTTTAACAAACTGTAGTTGTGGATTTATAAATGTATATGCCGTGTAGTGGCGGTTAAAAATATCCACTACCCCAGTCTTCCCGTGCGTGTCGTAAGAGTCTACAGTAGGAAACAGGCAGGAGATGTGAGGCAGCATCTATCTGATAACAGCAATATTACAATAAAAAATTAAGGTTGCCAACCCGCTCGCCAAGCGTGGCAACTATGGCAAATATCCCCCCATGATGAAAGTTACGAAGAGACGGCCCGCAGTCCACGGCGGCCCCGCTATTCCTGGCTACGATGGCGACCGTGGTAACGACGGGACACGAGGTGCTAAGAATCTCCGGTGGAGGTTCGGATGACACCTAAGACGTCTCGACCTTGCAACATACAACGCGCACCCTGAGGACTTACGAGAAGATCCTGGATCTGGAAGAAGAGATAGACACGTTACGCTGACATATTATAGGATTATCCGAGGTCCGAAGAGAGGGGGAGGACACGGTAATCCTCGAATCGGGCAACTTGTTCTATCACCAGGAGGACGACCATCTGTCTCAAAAAGGTGTCGGATTTATCGTCCACAATTCTGTTGTTAACAACGTTGTAAAGATTGTGAGTGGGTCAACGAGGGTTGCGTACCTAATACTCAGAATCACCAAATGGTATTCGTTGAAGGTCATACAAGTTTACGCACCTAACTCGGCACATATCAAAGAGGAGGTGGAGAAATGTATGAGGATATCTCTAAAACCATGCATTCCTGCAAAACCCACTATACGGTGTTAATGGGAGACTTCAATGCAAAACTAGGCACAAGAGAGAACGGTGAGCTGAAGGTAGTGATATTTGAAATAGGGCAACGGAACTCAAGGTGCCAGCAGCTGGCCGACTTCATGGAGAAAGAGGGACTCTTTATGATGAACACTTTGTTCCAGAAGTGGCCCCACAAGAAGTGGAACTGGTCAAGCCCTGATGGTTCGACAAAAAATGACATTAACTTCATTATGACGACCAGACGACACTGTTCAGTGATGTCTCAGTGATCGCGATCACACTGAACCTAAACGTTAAGTTGAGTGATATTGAGAGGTTCTATTGGCAGCTGTACACGTCATCGTTGGAGCCACACGCAAGTGTGAGTAACAATACAACAGCGAGTCTTATCCGACACTATTCCGAAGATATCCCGGACGTCAATCTGAGCGAGATTAGAATGGCTCTCCAGCATCTTAAAAACGGCAAGGCTCCAGATCAGGATGGAATTATGGCGAAGCTTCTGAAAGAGGATGGAAAACCGGTACTTGAAAACCTTCAGAAGCTCTTTATTCCGTCCTCCATGGTGGACCTACCCGGGGGCGTGTAGCAGAAGTGCGGTGGTCTTGTTCTTCAAGAAAGGCATTGTTGTCTGCTCTCTTGAAGAACTACAGACTGATTTCCCTTCTGAGCCGCGTCTACGAGCTGTTTTCGAGAGTCATTACGAATCGTCTCGCACGCAGACTCGACGACTTCCAGCCTTCCCGAACAAGCCGGTTTCCAAAAAGGCTTTAGTACCATAGACCACATACACACCCTTAGGCAAATTGTACAGAAGACAGAAGAGTACAATCTGCCACTTTGCCTTGCGTATGTGGACTATGAGAAAGCCGTTGGTTCCGTCGAAATTTGGGCGGTGCTACAGTACCTTCAGCGGTGCCAAGTTGACTGTCGGTATATCGAAGTGCTGAAGTATTTGTACAGTAGGGCAACGATGGCTATCAGAGTACATAATCAGAGTATGAAACCTATCCAACTGCAGAGAGCTGTAAGACAGGGTGACGTTATATCCCCGAAATTCTTCACCGCTCCATTGGAAGACGTTTTCAAGGTACTGGACTGGAAAAGATACGGTATTAACATCAATGGCGAGTACATCACTCACCTTCGATTTGCCGACGATATAGTTCTTATGGCAAAATCGCTGGAAGACCAAAGCACTATGCTTAATGACCTCAATAGTGTCTCATAACGGAGGTCTTAATATGAACATGGACAAAGCGAAGATCATGTATAACGTCCATGTCACATCTATGCCGGTACTTGTTGGAAGCCACTAAGCTCGAAGTTGCTGACGAGTATGTTTACCTGGGACAAATAGTCCAACTAGGTAACTTCGACCGAGAGGTCAATCAACGGATTCTACTCGGCTGGGCAGCGTTCGGGAAACTATGACACATTTTCTCATCGGGTATACCTCAAAACCTGAAAACGAGATTTTACAACCAGTGCGTGTTACCAGTGATGACTTATGGATCTGAGACGTGGTTTTTCTTTTCCTTCACTGCTGGCCGTATGAGGACGCTCAAGGTCGCTCAGCGGGCTACGGCGAGGGCTATGCTCGGGGTGTCTCTGCGTGATAAACTTAGAAATGAGCATATCCGCAGAAGAACCAGAGTGAACGACATAGCCCAACGGATTAGTAAGCTGAAGGGGCAATGGGCCGGTCATATAGCTTGAAGAACCGACAACCGATGGGGAAGAAAGGTTCTCAAGTGGCAGCCCCGTACCGGTAGGCGAAGTGTAGGGCGACCCCCCACTAGATGAAATGATGACCTGGTAAGACATGCAGGAAGTCGATGGATGCAGATGGCTCAGGATCGTGCTTTGTGGC